CCACCCACCCATCCCCCTCCCCAAAAAACCGAAAATAAGAAAATGATAAATCGCAGTGAAATTAAACGTTTTTCTCTCGCAAATTATCACCTTTCACATATAGCGAACAAAGTGAGAAAACAGTGCTAGTAGTTAGTCCATTCCGGCTATAAATGTTGGCATTTCCCCTTTCTCATATTGTTGCCGAAAGGGTTAACAATTTTGCCTAAAACTCAGTGGTTATTTCTGTGCATACATGCACGGCTAAATGAAGTGTAGTGTTCATTTGTATAAATGTTGTACAAATGACAATTACGGATACTAAGATTCAGATTGAAATTAGGAAAAGAAGAACCATTTGTAGATTCGTAATCAAGACTCGCGGAAGATTATCTAAGAAATCACTTAATGAAATAATACATATTTGGTAACTAGTCATTGTATTAAAAGCAGATTATTTGGAACAGATTAACCAAACACTTGGTCCTTTGCCTAACTTACAGGTCACCATTCGTAAGCATGAACGTTTCGCCTATGATCTATACAGATGAATACATGAATTTTCAAGGACAACTGTTCACCTCAGAACAAGTATTCTTATCTCACTGTATATCCCATTATCTGAATCACCTGGTCTAACAATCAAAGGCATACAGAAAAAACAGTACCCAGGGATTCAAGGTGTCCCACTGCACTCTGGATGTGACAATAAAGAAGTAGAATTGGACAATACCGTTTTATGATAAAGTTTGTCCTGTGTCATTTGAATGACAATTTTACCTGATTTCTGAGATTCATAGATTTTGAAAACCATTTCCAATGACACTGAAACATGATACCAAGTTTATGTAATCCACCTATTCGATCCCAAAACAATTGTTTATGTTCCAGTCAGAGATCTCAGCCGACATTCAACTGCACTGAGCATTCGTGGCCTACGCGTTTCTGATTAACTTAATCACGCAAAGTGAAGACAATCGCAGCTATCTTCTTCTCTCATCCGAGCATCCCAATCACATTGATTGATTTCGACTGATTGCATCACGCACGGTTCATCGTCCATTCTGTTCGACCTCAACTGATTACATTTCACTTAAATGTGAACCAATGTGATTTGGATAGAACCATTGAAAACATGCATTCAAAGACACTGTGTGGTTTAACCCGCCTCAAAAGCTTTTCTCAGGTACTTTAAAAATAAAAACAAGCAACTGTTCAGAACGGGATCTGATTCCTCTTTTTTTTACAACAACACGTGTACAAATATGTTTTTCAGTCGATGTGTTTTTTACTCCTAACGCGTCATGTTCATTGCACAAAATGTTTTGAATCCATGAATGCATGTTTTTCTCGGTTTTCAAAAGTGCTTCTATGGTATTTTTGTATCATTCAGTCTTAGTACGCATCAAACATGCATTACCTATCTGATTGCACACGGAGGGATGGAAACGAAACTAGTGAACATCTTGTCTGAAGTGGCATGTTAGATAAAACTGTGAAATCGAAAAGTGAATTCTGGTAACGAAAACGAAATTGAGAGACAAATATCTACGAAAATGTCTTCATCATATGTGAAAATCATCATCAGTTCGGAACAGCATGTTTGCAGTGAAAACACCCTTCTTTTGATCGGTCGTGGGGCTGGAATGGGGTGGGACTTCAAGAAGATCTTTTCCGACAGATAATAAAGGTTGAAGGAACAAATTCAATCCATCCCGGTTGCCTCTTGTTTCATTTTACAAACAAGAGTGCGTTTCACTTCAAACTGTTTCCGTTAGTAACTTGTATTTCATGTATTTCTGGTCACATTTATGTGCATTTTGTACTCAGCCCATTATCACACTAGCAGGAAAACATCGGTTTACCTGATTGATTCCACGAATTTTTAGGCCAAAGATTTACGTCTCTTTTCTGTACGTTTCGGGGCATTCAGGTCACTGAATTTCTCAAGGGTGAAACATACTACATTTGACTGTTTTTTATTAACTCCCGCCTTTATTCAGCGGACTGCAGCAACGACTGGATTATGCATTTTCCCTCAATGAGCACAGTTGGGCAGTACATAAATCTCAAAGTAGCGGTTCGAAAACAAATCGGTCGTGTCATATGCTGATCTACATCACGTTTTGCTATTCATTCCGTTTATATTGACCGGTTTCATTTATTGTTAGCCAGGGAAAAAACAATATTTTTTTTATTTTTCAGCCTGAATTAACCTGATGACTGTTTGCTAAAATCAAACATTTATCACCTGGACTTGAATATTATTGCTTGAAGAACCAGAAGGGTTTTGTTCCACCTTACAGATGACCGTCGTCGATTGCAGTTCAAAATTCACTCAACAGCTAGCAACCTGTACGAACGAACAGTTTGGGTTTTGTGTATCTTATCGCTTTTGAATAGGTCTTTACATATGCGTTATGATATTTGCTTCATCGAGGATTGCATGCAAGTGAACTGACCATCCTTCACATTTCCTATTCACAAGCAACCAGTAAATCATGCAATACAATCGGCAAGCACCCAACTCGACTTCTGTTTTCCTTAGAGCTCATCAGTAAGGCATATCCGCTGTCCCGTTTGAGCTTTCAAAACTCGGACCTATCACATGGAAGGCTTGTGTATCTCACACCTTTGTAGACCAGTTCACACAAGTGCCTATTATGTTAGTTCATTCATTGTCTTCAGTGGTGTTCAGCCATTTAATTAGACCAGAATTAAAAGCGATATTAATTGTATCCCAGTAGGTTCATGTCAATTTTTTTCAAATCTGCACAAAAGTCCTACTTTGGTGGAAGCCTTCCAAATGAATTTCAAAGATAGGCAAATATTACTCCCTCATTTGCCGTCAGGAGCAAGTAACTGAATAAGCATCATCATTGAAGATGATTCAGAAACAAACATGAACTTGCTCATAGGAGCATCACCGATGTGAGCTGGTTGACTTAGGCGTATGACACACAATACATGCAACAGGTACGGGGTTCAAACCTGGGACGGGACACCACTCAATAAATTTCAACAGAGTAAACATCCAGTTCCGGCTTCCCGAATGATTGGGCAACCTGAGGGTTGTAAGTGAATAAACAGTTTAAGGGATGGTCAGGCCACATCAATTAACGTATTCCAAAGCACCGCTCACACAGAATTCTGGTTTGAATACAGATTAGTGCTTCGTCTAGTATTCAGAAAATTACTCGCCGTTCAAAGCTGATACGGACTTCATGATAACAATAGACCTCACTATGGTTTCGATGATTTATCCACATTGTTTATGCAATAATAGTCGCACTTTAAATGCAATTTTCAATAATTCAAAATAAAGCATTCCTAAAGCGGATATAATTAATCTACCGCCATCAACTACATATATTTCATCGTTCAATTTGCCACATTTTCCTTTCTTGTTCCCGCTAGATACCCTGTGTTTGGAACCGTCCTGTATTCAAGCAGCGGCAGCTATCCTCAGCAATTTAGACACAAGCTATTCTCCATGTGAAGAATTCTATAAATATGCCTGCAACGGTTGGATACGAAAGAATCGCATTCCGACCGGACAAAACACTTGGTCCATTTTGCGGAAGCTGGGAAAAGATGGAGATTATTTTACCAAAGATGTACTCGGTAAGTGAATTGGTCAATTTTTGGTGTACGGTCATGCTTGAATCTAACAAACAATTGTCGACTTGTCCAGGTTTATCAAAACTAAACAACCGGACACGTTTTGAACAGCGGAGTTGCGAAGGCACCTATGCGGCGGTTTTCTGTCCAAAAGCATGGAACACTTAATTTAACTGTTTAGTTGAGACAACGTTTATCACCGGTGAACTAAGTTAACACCGAATAAAACAGCCAAAATCGGCATTTTTTCATTTTGAACGATTTAATTAACTTCACTAGCCTAAGATTGCATTTTTATTAATCTTTCAGGACAGGGCAGTTTCAAAATTTACTTCAAGGTCATAATTTAGACAACATCGACCTTTGACGAACGATAAGTTTAAATTTAGACAGTTAACACCATTTTTTTCATTTAATTTGTTTATCATGAGAGGTTTATCTATTATTGTTGAACTGCATTTTATATATTTGTGTCGATCGTTAAAGAGTGGTATCGTCATGTCTCAAGTCGGGTTAGGATCTATGGCCAGCTTTCGCCACTTTTCGCCGTCACTAGTGAAGTTCGACAAGACTGCCCTTTATCCTCTTTCCTTTTCAACGTTGACACAGACGATGTTTTACAGAATGCTTTGTCCGGTCAAGTAAACGGTGGAGTCGAACTCCTTTCAGGGAACAGAGTTCTTGACTTACAGTATGGCGATGGCAACGCCTTGTTGGGTGACAAAACACAGGCAGTCTAATACGCTGTAAACCCTTTGGCGATACAAGTATGTGCTTTGCAATATCAAAAAGTAAATTGCTTGTTCGAAACTGGCAGGAGCCTTTGCCTGCACTCACCCCTGTGGTGATCACCTGGAAGTGGTTAAGAGCTTTAAGTACCTCGGAAGCTTCATCGCAGTTGGTGCTGGTGTTGGGGAGGAGATCGCATTACGAATAGCGAGCTGGAGTGGCTTTCATCAATCTGCGACACCTGTGGCGCCGCTATGACATCCGACTGTTTCTTAAGTTTACATCGCATCGGTTCGTACTGTTTTACGTTACGGTTACGAGACCTGGTCTCTCCGCGTTGATGATGCTAATCGACTTTCTGTATTCGACCATCGATGTCTCCGAGGCATTGCTTGTGTCTGAGGAGAACATCGGGTGAGTAATGACGAGGTTCGCCGTTGTGTGCTAGGTGCGGATAGCCGTTCTCTAACAGAAGTGATCGCTCTACACCGCCTTCTATGTCTTGGTCAGGTATAGCGTAGGCCTGTGCATCGGCTACCTCTCCGTGCTCTCTCTGCATGTGACGTGCAAGGCTTGAAGAACCTTCGCTGCGGTCAGACCACTACATAGCCTAGAGGTATGAAGAAGCTGGTTTCAGCTTTGTCTTTGGTTGATGCACCCTCCTTCTAGGTTGGGGCCCAAAGGATGAGGATTGTCGTTGATTAGAGACGCTGAGAGATATAACCCGGAATGGAAGTCAGAGTATCCAATGCTCTACGGTCGGCCTGTTAACATCTCGTGTCCCATAAAACACGATAGACTTACAGAAAAAAACTTGCAAATTTAGATGGCGAAACAAACGAAAAAAAGCTATTCTCATCAATTAAATTATCTGTTTGACCCTCTTTTCCTCTGTTATGTATCCCAACCCCCATTTTCTGTTATTCTTGTTGTTGTGTTCGCACCAGTCTTGCTTGCCGGTCGGTGATGTAGATATACGTATCTATCTATCTATCTATCTATCTATCTATCTATCTATCTATCTATCTATCTATATATATATATATATATATATGTATATATCCATCTATCTATCTATGTATATATATGTATAATGTACAGAGTGATTATCATCTAACCGTTTACACCTCTTAGTAATGGTTAACTATTATTTATGAAGAAGTGTGTCGAATATTAGCACGACAGAAATAAACGACTTAGGAATACGACAGTTGTAAATAGCACTTACAGCAATACGCCGCTAATAATAAAATATGATGAAACAGAATTGGTCAGTTGACCTAGAAAGACAGGAATGCTAATTCGCATCAGCAATACACATTCAGAAAACTCAGTGTGCATGATCTGCTACAGCTATTTCACACTGATGACTTGTAGATAATCTGAAACTCAGCTGGTACGCAAGTGAACGAGAATTTGTTTTCGCATGCGCCAATGAAATCTCCGCTAGTTTGCTCCTTATACAATTCGCAAAAGTACCCCGTCTGCCAGGACCATAACCACATTAGAAATAATCATCCCAAGCTGCTATATTGACGCTAACCAATAAGTGACCGCGTTGATTAAAATGTGGGTAAAATTCACTCTCTGAACTGAAACCTGATTTCATCTTTCTTCTCGTTTTCCAATAAATCATCCCCTCCCCCAAAAACGTTGTTAGATAATATGTGAACCTTAAACCGGAGTTTGAATCACAGAAAATGAACTTGTTCGAACGGTTTCCCCATTAGCTCTGTCTGACTGAATTCATGTGAACCGTTTTGTTTGCTACCACAAATTACTTAGTGTACACCTCTAGAACATTTTTCATAGATTTTTAAGCTAATGCCACAAAATACCAATCTATCTAGGCTTCGGTTGACAACGGAGAACCGACGGTGAAACTCATAGACACAGCAATCATTCATCACAATCTGACATATATCTGTCATTCGGAGACCGACTGTCACAAACGACTCAGGGCAATTGTGCAAGGCAAAGGTATGCCATGATCAATTCAATACCGAAAAGCAGATTTATGGTTCAGTAAACCCATTTGTAGATAAACTACAGGATATAGCTAACCCGTGCGCATCTGGCTGCCTAGAAAAATCGTCTGTCTGTCTCTCAATATCGGTGAATTGGCTAATGCGTCTGGTTGCGGTGCAGAAATGGAATGTATTTTGCACTTGAGTGGTCATCAACGGTTCACTGATATTTTAACATCTCGCTCGTCCTAATCCGTTCACTCATATCTCATCTTTCCCGGGTGGGTTAGAAAACACATCCAAATTAGACGATCCGCCGACCCGTGCGGTACAGCTGGCTCGGACATATTACAACTCTTGTCTGGATGAGAGTACCATCAACTCGCGCGGTTTTACCCCGCTGTTTAACAGTCTGGTGGAGCTGTTTGGCGGGTGGGTACTTCTACCTCCCGAATCACCAGCGGCACGAAAAGACCAAGGGGTTGGTCTGACAGTGGACAAGTTCAGTCTGACTCAACTATATCTCCCCTCATTCCGATTGTACGGTGCAAGTCCTTTGTGCCGAATCACTGTGGGAAACGATCAACGAAATTCCACACGCTATGTGATTGATGTGAGTCCATTTTTCACGATGGTCCTTGTGCTATTTTATTCACAACCGCGGTAGAAAATATTGTAATAAATGTTCCTCCTACTGGCAGGTGATTAAAAGCTGAACTATGAACCAGATATGACTCAGATAAATTCTCTCTCGATAAAACCGGAAATAATAAAACGCCAATTATTTTGATTTCAAACCTCCATATCATAGTTCATAAATCACAGATACAGAGGAATAAAACATTCATAACTGATATGAATATGTGATTGATTCTCAGTTAATTCAATTCAAGAGAAGCTTTATGCATCCAATGGATGAATTTTCAGCGATGTACGATTCTTACAGTGCATATATAAAATCAATTGCGAATGGTGTCGAGTAAGTTACATGGAAACATTTGATAACGTATCTTTTAAGTGTACCACTGAATATTGATGTGTACTTCATCTTCAAACACATTCTTCAGCCGATTTAGTCAAGCCTACACCCGAAAAGCACCGGAAATGAGTTTTGGTTTCACTAAAAGCCATCTTTCTTGCTTATTCACCGGCCCGTACAATGGATGGGCAACTTTATTGCTGGTTGAACTAAGGAGCGTATGTGAATATGAATTCTGAAAGATAGTCAATCTAAATAAATATCATCTATCCAAACTAAATGTGCCTGGATTGATAAGTAAAGATATAACTGAACTATGCTAAGGATTGCCCCCCCCCTCCATTTTTACTCCTTGGGGTTAAATGAACTGAACCTGTTAGTTTGTTATCTCGCAATTCGTACGTCCCAGTGCTGTCCCGTCGTCTAACATTCTCAGTGAAAAATGGATATCCTTTGAGTTGAACTGGCCATCCTTCAGGCTCCATCTTCGCACACAATTCTGATTCAGTCATTCAGTCAGTCGAACACTTGAGAAGCATCAGAGCACCCGTGCTCTCTTTGGAGCTCAGCTGTAGTGCATATCCTCTGGCCCTCGTGAATTAAACTTTAAACCCATTAATTGGAGAAGAATTTGTTACCACTGCGCCAAACAGCTCATAGTAGAGCTAACGATTCATACTTATTCAGATGTTATCTTCAGAGATAGTTTATCATTTCTTTCTTATTTATACATCTTTTCAATGAACTACTACAGAGCATTTATCATCCAAATCAGAGGACCTTACTGGGGTGAAATGGAATGCACAAATCCCAAACTTATTTGATATTGTTACAATAATGATTGAGTGCCAAAATTCAATATTGGTAAGATATTCAGCTGACCCTCACGGAGATTGTATGCACGAGTTCAGTGCTGACGAGAACAAAATGAGTGGTATTGAAATTCTCATAAAAATTGAACTAGTTATCTCCAATCGATAAAAGGATAAGCATCACATGATGTTGAGCAAACCTGGTGATTCATGACAGTGCGATTGAGAGGTTACGCTTATTGTCATTCGATTACATATTTCGGTTATACAAGTTTATTATTTGGGCGCTTCATCACGGAATTCACTACGAAAAACAAGTATGCTATTTTAATTTAATGATACGTAATAATGTGATGCCGAATGATTTTAGTTACGGATACGGATATGGATGCTACTGCGTTTTCATCCTCAGTTTATTTTCGATGTTGATCCTGCCTCGCCTGGCCAAGAAACGACTGTAAACAACACTTCCAGCTCGGAGGACACACGAACAGCAACACAGCCGTGTTGAAGAACAAAATATCCATTTTAAATACTGGGTTTTGTAGTGATACGACACAGTGAAATGAACCGAATAAAAAAGAGTTTGCGTTGACGATCCAAAAAAATCGAAGGCTAACATTTCTATGTCAGAAGCTGTTTGGTTTACAACCCAAATAGTTAGGGTGCGTGTACCTATGCGTGTGTGTGTAAACCGTACACATCGCTGAAATTATGGTATCACGCAAAACTAAACTTTAGTAAATTGAGTTTTGATAAAATACAACTGCATCGACAGCATAATCGAATGTACAAAGACATCTTGAATTCAGCAGAAAATCAGGACAACAGTTCTACCCATCCTGATCAAACCTTTTTATATAACATTGGAGTAATGTTCCATTGAGCAAATCGAATTTTACGTGTCATGTCATTTTGACTACTGTTTTACGCAAACCAAGCTGTTGTCTATCTTGTAACTTGAATTCATGTAAACTGGCATATTCATTGATCATTTTTACACCCAATTCTCTACTTCATCATGCAGATCATGGAAGGTTCTGTGGGGTTACACAAAGAACATTATGTAAACGAAACAATTTATCCACACAAAAAGGTGAGTAATGTCAACACAGTTCATCTCGAAAGGTTGTTTTCCTATTCTGTTGTTGCCTTCGTGTGGCCTGTTTCTAGTATTCTATTTGATACTTTCCTTTGAACGATTTCTGAATGAATCTGGCTGGTTATTTATCATTCGACGATCGTGTGTTAGCGGTCATTACATTATGGGAGACAACAGTGGTCAGTTAGCACATTCGATGTGATTTTCTGGTTGCATAACATTCAATATAACGTTTGTTTATATACATGCAATAAAGAACAACAAATAATTTGAATTTATCCTGGAATTTTATGCATTCCGCTTTTTTAGGTTCCCAAATTACTGCTCATTAAGCACTTAGATAACGACAACGGCTGAAATAGCATGACACACCTCATGTGTACTGAATAACAAGCGATTGACCATGTGGATCTAACTGTTGCTTTCAGTTTGAGGCCTTTGCAGAATTAGTCTAACTTGGGAAATCCAAATCCTACGACTAACTCTTCGTTCACAAAGTGCACTGCTCTCCTTTCCGCTTTTCAGTGGGATTTTTAAGACAAGGTGATTAATCTCCATGGGTTACGACAAACAGAAAATTCAGATTGAATTTACGCTACCTAAATTGACGCATCAATTGTCCACTTGAACACCTCCACGGCACTTCTACTGGGAAACACAGAGTCATTTTTCCAATCCGATTATACCCAACACCAATCAGACTCTTCGTCACCCGACTATTTGAAAGCAAGCACGCCACAATTCATATCCATGGGCATTGGAACAGAACGATTTCCAGACGTACGACATGGTGACAGGTACAAAACGGAGTATCAAGAAGACCTTTTTACGAAAGGCTTATTTTGAACGGAAATTAATAAAAAATTCAGTCAACAATGAAAATTCGGAACCTTGTTTGCTGCAATCGTTCAACAGTGTTTTGTCAGAAGGACCATTTTGTACTTCAAGGCAGAAATATCCCGAAAATCAGTTTCTTAGATTACAGGCTCCTTCCATTCCTCACTGCCAAAATCTTGTGATCACTTAATCCTGCTAATAATGGCAAATTATGACTTAAAACACTGTTTGCAATCACAAACGAAATTCCTCAACAGTGGATGTTCAAGGTCTCGAGGTTCGAATATAGCAAACTCATATCGATATGACGGTAGATCGGTTTGCCAGCATTCGCGCTTACTATGAAATAATCCCACTCAAACATGTTAGATACAGATCAGGTGTGATCGTGATCAGTGTAAATGTCTATCGCCTGGTGTCAATAAAATTCCTGAAATTCTATTCACCAGACTGATGAAGTGGAGCGTACTGCACTAATCTTCACCAATCAATTTGTCCACTGATTTTCAAACATGGGGGCAACAATGCTCAAATTTGACGACGATGTTTCAAAACGTATATCAGTCAATATAATATATTGCAGAGACAGAGAACTGATCGATCAGATGGATTCATCAAAGACTCCATTTCTTCCGTGCTTTCTTTTTCTGAATCTTCAAACAAACTTCAATTTTGGTCACTAGCCAATCAGTGCATATCGGAAGTTTATGAAGAACTATACACGAATGCTTGGTGTACCGGAATCAAGCCTATCTGCCATGGACGATGTGTATCAATTTGAGAAAGAAATTTCCATGGTAAGTTACCTAATTCTTGGTTTGATTAACATGCGGATAGAATATACCGGTTTTCATGCATTACAGAGACATTTTTATATGCTTTACTGTTTCGATTCTACTAGAAAAATATTGAATTGAAGTCAAGCGATATATGCTCCTCTGTGATAGTACTGTTTAGCACTGCAATCCTACGATGTTAGTGAAGGCGTTCATCTACAAGAAGATTATCAATAGTAGTATGATAGAACCAGGGGTAGATTCATCAAACTTGCACAAACAGTTTGCTTGATTAATGATCTCACAATCAAAGGAACAAGCGTTCACAAAGCAATGTATAATTTGCCGAAGTAAGATCAATAGGAACGCGTGTGCATCTGCTCAATTGCTATGCACTTCTACATTATCTAAAATTTTTTCGTTGTATGTTTATAATGTTACTTATCGTCATCACTGGCCAATTGACCGAATCGCCACTAGAGGGGAAACCAAAATCGATGAACAAAAGTGCAAATACGATAATCGTATAAAGTCATCATTGAAATAGGTTCAAATCCGAATATAGTAAATTTTATTTTTTGCCACATGCCTTGGAACACATCATGGACTCTGGTAAAAATAAACTGCGTATCTGTTGTACATGTACGTTTGAGACCAGAGGGTCAAACCAAATCAAGTAAAAACATCCCATTTCGAATCATACAATGTGCTATGAAAAATCCTTTTTTAAGCGTGAAATACGCAGAATTTAGAACGCATGAGAAATATGAAAATCGTTCAAAATGTTTATCGGGGAGTTGAAAACTATGATCGAACTAACGGAAAACACAGATATACTGGTTTTTTTGACGAGTTCTAAGAGTGTTACCCAGTGTTTAGCTATATTTGATTGGAGATATATCAATAGGAGTTTGAGGAAGAAATTTAGGAAACGATTTTTTTCAATGGAATTCCATAATTCCAGTTATTTCATGCAATGTTTAATGTAATTTTAAGTAATTGTATGGCTAGTATGCCTCCTTTTGACAGCCATCAAATATCATTTGTGCCGCTCAAACCTTGATAAAGACGTTGTGAGTGATTGCACAGAGTTATTTACACATTTTGAGTTTTTATTAGAAACAGAGGATGTACCTAAGTAGATTATATTTTTACTTTGCTTCATACTCTAAGAAGAGAAGAGATCTAGCAACAATTACACTCTAAATCACAAAAGTGAGCATGCCCTACCCTGGCAGAATACATCTTCATTACTGGAATATAACCACCTCTAATGATGATATTTTCTAACTGCTGATTTATCATTCCTGCCCGTAAGTTTCAGGCATTATTTTGTTTCCCTAAGGAGCTACTCTGTAATAAGTGGTGTGCATTTTTTGCGATCCCGCACTTGTCGAGAGTCTCCGCTTTCAACGTTCGGTCGAAGACAAACGGGCGTTGTGAACTTTGACACATGCCCTCCTGAACTATATCGAACGGCTCTCAACAACCAAGTACTGTATCTGTTATTCTTCTCGATTTGTATAGACAAACGATTATTTACCCAAAGGTGTGACGCTTTACTTATTGGTATTTTAAATCAGAGAATGCCTCTATTCTGCATGATGTTGGAAATCTCAATGGGATGGTAAAGCATCTATGGACGTCAAACCTAATTTCTGCAAAACAAAATTTCCACTCGTTCATTTGCAACATCATACCTTACTTAAGATATTTTCACCAAAACATCTGATCATATCAAAGTAGTAATGTGTAATAACTTTTACTTAAAAGTTTTTATAGGAAATACACGGAAACCAAGCCGTCAATCAATGTAATGGTTCAAGGGAAATCAAGTTGTTGCAGGTGGCATGGATACCGTGTGGTGCATCGATAATTCGTTGAAGGAACTAACCAAAGTTCACAACTTCTAAAATCTCAGCTTGAACAGCGTGCTCCTTAAACAAGTTTAGGTGGCCGCCGTATAAAGCTTTGAATCACATCGCGGCTGTTGATTGTATCAGACTTGTATACCTTGAAAACCTGCTCAAATCTGCAGTCAGTGAAACAAACAAAACATTAGAGGTGGTCCTATTAAGTAAAATAGCTGAATATTAACCGATGTCATCGATATGTGTTCAGCTGTCTTCGAAATTTACTAGATGAGTGTGGAGATCGTTTGGTTTTACTAAAGTTTAAATATTATTTTATTCGTCAGATTTGAGAAAGAGTTAGTCTAGGGGAACTACTGAGTTGCCGTAGGTGTTTTCCAATGCGTGCCATTTTTTTAGGTTTCCCACATGAGCAGTGCGCATTTCGTTCTGAACATAAATGTACCTCGACATCCATAAACCACTTAATTGCTATATTCGTGATCTCACATTTATCTAATTAAGAATCCAAACAACCCTTCACCGCTCAGTGTTTGAAAATGTGGTTTATGGGTTTGTCTTGTGCAAACCCAATCCATTTCTCATGGCAGCCATTATTCGAGGTCATAGTCACATTGATTGCAGCTGTCCTTAGCGTGTAATCTAATCACATTTTGTGGTGAACATTGCGTCATTTTTGTGAGAATTTTCTGAACATATCCGTTTCAGCGCAAAAGTCAAAGTGATACACACGGTTGATTGGCTAAGAATGTCCTCAAAAGGTCGGGATAAAGTAAGCATTAGTAGCTTAGGTGATCAGTTTATTCGCACGAATAGCATTTCATTACGATAGACTAGTCGGTGTTACGGTCAATTCCGGTAACTGTTTGAGGGTTTTTATTCGAATTAAACAACATATGGTAGGGATTTTTATTCTGGTAGAGTGTATCACTGCATGGAACAGACATTTAGTTGGAACCCGATTAAATAAATCAGTGTACTTTGAATTAGAAGAGTTCGTCAAAGTTAAAGTGTGAGAAAGCACGTCACAATGTTCCGGAGGGTGCCTTGTGTCAGGCATAAAACAGTATTATGTGCAGTTTATAGTTGAACTTATGACTTGCTTTTGGACGACCGCTATAGAGGCAAGAACTATTAAAAAAATGTAACCTGAGCTAAGAATCTAATCTACCCTTGTAGTGGAAACGCGTGGGGCGTTTTAAGAAGAAAATCTTGACTATTTGTACCGCTCAAGCACAATAGCGTAAAGTGCTTCCATCCTCAGCACTTTTTGTTTGTGATTTAATTGTCAACTGTAGATTTTTATCCTAGTATCTAACATCGTCAGCCCACCCCTACTGAAGGAGACTGAATTGTTCTCTAACCATGGATGGATGATTCTCGCAACAAAGAATGAAGAATGCACGAGAGATTGTTATAAATTTGGTTTCTTGAACACTTTTTGTCTCCTCAGGAAAGAATGGTTTAAAAGCAAAATGACCAACCAACAGAAGAGTCACCTTGATATCACCACCAATTTATTTGTTCAAAACTGGATAGATACCTGTGTGTGTTTGTGTGTGAAAATGTTTGTGCTTACCCATATCCCAACTGGGGATAGTCTCTCATTGATTGTTCGAATTTAACTGCATGGAACTGACTTGAACCTTTCACTCAGCATTTTGTACTGTGGGTGTTCATGATTATTGTGATGCTTATTTCTCTGTAAAAGCGTCTCCTCGTCCTTCGTTAGACTAGCAGTGCTCCAGTAGGAGCCGTTAATTGTTTTTGAGGGAATCCAAAATGCTGTGCACAATCCACGATTCGAAATCCATGTGCTATCAAAACATGTACATCCTAGAGTTGTGTTAGCTCATTAATCAGTTCGTAAATGTTTCATCACCGACCGAGGTGAATTATTCAATGTAATTCTTTGTAAAGTCGACTGCTGTTTGCTGATCTGTTGTCCAATTACCGAAATGTGCGAGAAAATGAGTGTCGTACCACTATGACATGGCATATAAGTGAGAATAATGAAATGAACCCAAAAGAGATNGGCATAAAGGGTTTAACAATCCGGAGGTTAGCATATCAAACAATTTTCTGTCTGTCAACGCTTTCTCACGGTGGGTTTTCCTTTTTATTAGTTATCATTCTATCTGCTATTTCCGAATATGGGAATACTACACAATTAAATTAAAACCAAAATTTAACACCAGTTTACCTTTAGATTCTTTCCCAGTAAGGTATATGGTAGATTTCGTTGTGTAAATACCAAATATATCCAGCCGGATTAGTTTCTTGGTGGTTAGATGGGTGGTCTGCTTCTTTTACACCTCCAAGATTCCCAGTTGGATCAATGGATTCACCCTGTTGACTATATCCAACAACAGTAAAATAATGTCATTTAACATTGATTTGGTCTGCACATGAGAAAATTCACTATGAAACTGAACCCCATGCCCGCTGCTCTAAGATAACCGTAGATGTATCTTGTGGAAATTAAATATGCATTTGAACCGTACTGCAACTACATCCTTATTTTAGAACTTTTCTCAGCAAGTGAGTTACATTACCTCCCCCCTAAAATCCTCTGAGTTAGGGCAGTAGTTTTCCGATGAAAACTATTCACCAATGGCGGTTTGAACTAGCTCGCAAGTATTGATTGCTTTACAGTCAAACCTCGTGGAAACGGCGACCCATGCTCATTAGTATAATGGCAGTATTACGCATGGTGGTACTTGCAGTGACGCGCACCATCAACTTTTGGTATTATTTGATCTTTAAGTTTTGATGGGTTTTCCTTATGCTCGCTCATGTTCCCTAACATTTGCTTTCATCTCCTAAATCATTTATATCTAACTTAGTTACTTTCGCGCTCTGCACAATTGATACATACCTCCCACTTGCTACGACACTGCAGTCGCTGTAAAGGTAGTCTGAACACCCCAACCATCCACTGATGTTTGGGAATCAGCTAAATGCAGTAATGTGGAGGAGGGTTACATGTTTCTGAACAATGAAGGACTTCTACTAGCCAGACCCTATTTGGCGAATAATGAAAATTACCTATCACGAGGCAAGGTCCTTAACTGTGGTTAAGTAGACTTTTTCTTTTTTCACGCTCATGGGTAACCTGCATTATGTAGGTGTCATACTTTCCTGCAAGGAAGTAATGACTTTCCTCACACTAGTCTTTGCTTATGATCAATCATTCAACAAAGATTAGTGGAACGTTTTGCAGCACAAAAAATAAGATATGGTTATCTTGCTGTGTAATTCATCATCCTTTCTCCTCTGAGATTACGAGTTCGAAACCGAACAGTACCCTCTGGTTGCATTGCCGGCGTATTTTGTGATGTTCACCTGAATGGCCGTTGCAATCAGAAGAAGATCGAGGAATAACAAGAATCACTGGTCGAGTTTGTGTATGTATGTGTGTGTGAAGAATGTGTGAGACCCTGCGAACAGAATAAATGCTTTCTAACACCACAGAGCGCAACCAAACTGTCTTTCAGTTGACTGGTGGTGACTATGTACACAGTCAACAGTGTCACCGTACACCAGCTGTGCTTTACTTTTCGTGTGCGTACGCTCTCTGCAATCCGGTGGCGATTCAAACTTAGCCCATGCAATTTCACCTATTTTGTGGCACGTACACATGCGGAAATGTAACATTGCACCCATCTATGAATGCATCATGTAATCAAGCCTTGTTGATCGCAGTCTTTTATCAATTTACTCTGGATTGCTTTACCTCAACCTAACTTCACAGTTTCCGTCCTGTAATCTATTCACTGGCGATTTACTGTGGTTTTAATGTGCCAAGTGAATAGCATTGCTTACGTCGCTGGCGAAATGCAGTTCACGTTACAGTTGGAGGTCCTAATTACTTCAGTTCTTGTGAATGTTTCGGGCCATGTCGGTCCATGATCATGGCAAACACATGCCCCTCAGGTTTGGTAGCATATAAACCGAGAGTGTAAATAAATCTACTTAAACATATAACTTTTGTTTACACCCAGCAAAATTATCGCCAATTGTGCCCTTTCGGTCCATAACCCATTGACAAGCAAGAGCGAGGTTCTAGTCAGCTACTCAGACAGTCATCACTAATGTGTTTCAAACTATTTTGTTTGTGGTTTGTAAACTAACACTGTTGCATCTCCGTTGGTCGTCATTGCGAAACCACGTCTACGCTAATGAAATCTCGAGTGACGCCCAAATCCAAATTCTAGATCCTGAATTACCATTTTTCATAATAAGGCAACCGCGTTCATGTAATCAGAAAAATCTTGCGAACGATAATATTTATATAGTCATTAGGCTTTAGGAGACTTGTAGGAAAACAGTAAGTAAGTTCAGCAATTTGTTTTGCAAATTCACACACGCAGATTAATAAGTTCGAGTGTTTTTACGTAAGTGACGGAAATTTCGAAAACAATGAACGTGATTCTAGCAAAATTGCCAATTCGCAGCCCAAAAGAACAAACGTTTAAACTGCACTAAAGTTGACTGAGTTTACCGGTTCAACTTTTGGCGAAACCAAACTATCGAAACCTTGTTTTATGATGATGAACTTGCTTAGAGATTGAGAAATACCTAATTTGGTCAAATCGATCTAGTATATATGTGTTGGAATATCCAAGTAAGATTGGCTGGACATACAAAGGCAAATGATCGTATTGACAACTTAAATGTCGTCGGCGCAAGAAACTTCCTGTTATTTTGTTATCACTAATGTTGTTGACCTTGCTCGTGTTGTTGTGATAATATTCAAAGCTGATATTTTACTGTGTACTAAACAATCCCGTGACATTGTTTGGTCCACAAAAATGGCAGAATATATTCTTTACGTTTAGATAGAGGTGCCATAACCATGGCTGTTTTTTGTTCGATCTTCTCCCACTGTGCACTAAAAACATTTTCCAATTAGACTCTAACAATCCGATCATCATCCAGGTTGATTTTATCGTTTACAACAGCTACCGGATTGCAAATTCCATAGCATTCATTCCCATAGACCGAGAGAGGAAGACGGTTCAGATTGTTAACAATAAACTTCTCCTCACCCGTGTAGCCGCTGATACAGAGCAGTGCACCCTCACAAATTAGTTATTCATGGCTTCCAGTACCTTTGGATCTCCTCCACTTGAATCATCAAACCATCATTATCTTCCAACCTTGAATTTTCAGGTTTCATCTGTAATCCCAATAAATCGATCTTAAGACCTGCAGGCCCGATCCTGTCTCTATAACCTGTTCTCAGTTCTCTCATTGATCTTTATCCCACTGAGTCCCAACTGTTGGGAAAATATTCACGTTTTTACGATTTCCAGGTGAGTTGCGTTTGGTGATTCTAACGATTACGCCTCATCTTACGGGCTTCACTCTTTTCGGAGGACCTACAATTAGTGAATGCAAAACAACTGCGACGTCAATTGAAACACCACAAACTTCTATACGACCACTAATTTGAGATCCATTACATCATATCCAATGCCAACCTGTTGACACACAAGTCACAAATTAGGACATTTGATAAAAATGGTGATTCACATCATAGAGATATCAGCTACACCGAAAACAATGAAGCCAAAAGAAAAGAGTTGCTTTGACGATTGTCTTTCAAAGGCGATGTAATGGACCCAATAACTCAAACGACGACCACTAGCAGGCCAGTAATCTCGAAGAATGTCAAAGAGAAGCTGCCTGTCCTCGTCTCAATATTGAATCCTTATTCATTTACTTGCATCTGTGCAGCGATTCACATAGGTGGGACGACAAGGCATCTGTTGCAGAGGGTGAAAGAACACAAACCGACCTGACTGAGTTTTGGCTGCATGAAAACATCGTGAAGCACAGTCACAAAAGCAGGGCATCCTTTTAGCAACGACAGTCTCAAAGTCATTTATCAATTATCACCAATTAGATCACCGCTGCGTGCATATAAAAAATTGGTCAAGGTAATCCAGCTGTCCTGACCTCCAGTTGGTCTAGATCATGATTCTGACCATTACATGATGATGACGTCAAGAAGCCAAGGTAAACAGAACGCTGCAAGCGTAACTTCCCCCCCCCCCGCGTCTCCTCCTTGCAACGTGTAAAGAACATTGTTTTGTTTTTATCATTTAGAAAATTACTTTACGTAACTTGATTTCGATTAACTCCCTAACCGATATCCTAACCTAACTTGTATATACAAACATGTAACTGTGCCTGTTCGAAAAGGAATATCTGCCAGTCATTCAACCGAAGTCGGCAATTTCGTCACTTTGATGAAAAGTCTATATTCTTGTGTTTGACTTCATGGGTGACACTATCAGAATCCTATCGAGAATAATAGTAGTGCACTTTGGTGACGCACAGGGTTCTTTGCTATACGCCATCCTCTATCTTATTGTTATCGATGATCTTTTATCACAAACACAAAAGCCTATCCCAGTTGATAATACCAATCCATATTGTTTTCTTTTCAAATCGCTTCCCGGGGTTTTTTGAGTAACATCGTCACTGTTGGTTGGTTGACTGATTTTACGTCAATCAGTTTGAATCGGTGTACTTTCTCGGCTTAGAACACGCAAATGCTGTTACACAATCCTGGTTTTCTGTTTTCAACCAAGTTATTCCCCCCACTCTAAATCTGGATTTCGAATCTTGTTCACTGCGCGTTTTAGCTTCTGCAGGTCTGCTTGATCTACAAGTCCCTTTTACTCTAGCTTGTCTCTGCGTATGTCCTTACTTCTTTGCATGAAACCGTTTATCACGGTTTGCATAGATTATCAACCTATCGTTGATAACAAGTCCTGAACATGATGGACGATGACGCACAGTCTACTGTTCTTCTCTGGACTGCATTCAGCGTAAATCCATTCTTCTTGTCGCTATCTGCCCACAAAAGAAAACCTTGAACCAAATAGCTGTCATATTGTTGTTGGTACCTTATCTGTTTTCTTGCGCTGTTAGACTTTATTTGGCCCTATGGAGTTTTCCTATTTAGTCGCCCTTGATATTTATTCGTTTAGTACACCCGGTCTGGGAAGAATCACATCACGCTTATCGAATAGCGGCGGTTGAATCCGCGAAATGAAGAAATGACCTTCCTACCCATTTGTTCATCCGTATTGTAATCTTTCCAGAATGTTATGTTTTATATGAATGCCCGCACATTCACCCATCCCCGTTTCCCCAATACAGTGCTTTATCGTTTTATCGTTTTTCTGAGTATCTTGTTTGTCTTTAACATCCATTTGCGAGGCCGTCTTCGAATTATGAACAATATGCGCTCTTTATTTGTGTTGTCAAACAGGACACCTCTTTGATAGGATCTCGGCAGTCATACTCAATGTAATGTTTATGCTGTGAATGTTGATTTCGACCTTTGTAGCACGTGTCAATTAAACTAAATGATCGTTAGGATGGGGAACAAAGTGCTGATCGTTTATCAGCTATTTCGTACAACACTGAAGAACCATTTTATGAATGGTTGGCACTATTTCAACCTTCCCTAATCGTATTTTCTCAATTTGAGGTGTTTTCTAACAAGATAAGCGATCGGCCTTTCATGATACTGATGACCTCAGCTAACATCGTTTGAATGACTTCTGACACTTATTGTCTGCATGATTTTAGTATACATAGTTATCGGGAAGATGAATTTGCATCATTCGTTGGTCGTTCGATATCATTTCTATTGTATATTGTGATATTGCAAATATCAAAATTTCAAATGAGGATTTAACGATCTCAGAACTATAGATTGAAAGCAAAACAGTACGCCACTTAGATTAAGAACTAACCGATAGTTGTCATTAGACTGACGATTTTTTAGTCTCCGAAAAGGACAAACTCTTCGATTATGCTGGGTATCGAAGTGATCATGGGGGCTGTTAACGACAATTCTGTGACAGCGATAATCATGGGTGCTTCATGTTAAACGAGTTGTTAGTCAAAGATTACATCAATGCTCATTTTTGACATTTGGGCGCTTTATGACGACTCTCTTTCAGAGTTTCTGAAAGTTTCTGTAGGATAAGTTGTTTGTTTGAACTGCTACGGTATCCATTTATTATGCTCAACCAGGTGTTCGCGCGCATTATTGATTTGTTCTTCCTTCTCCCGTTCAGCGCACCGAGGAGCGAGGTGATCGTGATCCGGAACGAAACTATGAGTTGATCAAACTGAGTGAACTGCCCAACTATTGTTCTGTGGTAAGTAACAATGAATCTATATTATTCTTGCCGGTATAATTGTGTAAATACGCATCCGTGTGTGTATGCGCGCGAGCGCGGAACGGGTAACAACTGGTCATTGAGGATACCACTAAATCGATACTTAATTTTATGGGCATGGTTCACGAGACAATAAATGTACCTATTGCCAAAAGAAGGGGTTAAGTTTGAAACATGAGTCAGTTTTTAGTCAGACATTTCTAAATATGATTTATTGTTTATTTCTGTGGGGATGATTCACCTGAACTTCACTGAGATGGTATCCCCTGGTGCTCGATTTTATTGTTTGCCGGTTAGAGGTGGAAGACCCCAAATCAATTAAACATCGATAAATGGTACACACCACTTGACGATTTATGAAACTAATTAAAAACAGAATGTATCAGTCCAGTGTAAATAAACAGTAATATAGTAAAGGACAGTCCCAAATGAGATCTAAAACCGTCTCAAACACTGGATCAGAAAAGTCGGATGTTGTGATCCGCGAAATCCCATTCATCAAACTTGCGTCCACCAGTACTCAAAATTATGCCCTATAAATTTTTGGTAAATTTACTGATATTGATATTCCACACGTGTCAAACGAAGGAGGTTGTGTTGTTTGTGCACATCGAATACGTGGTGATCTCCCAAGGAGTGAAACCCACACAGAACATCATCTACAGTGCTTGGTGCTTGTGAAAAACCGAACGGGCTAATCCAAGCATTGACCATTTAAACACGGTGCTCTTTTTGTTAGACAATGAGTTTCAAATAAATGACAAGAAATGATTATGCTTTTTAATTTGGAAAGAGCATTTAGGAATAGGCTAATTATCTTTCCCCATAGGATTTGATTGCACCAATGGGAGAATGCCGTCTCAGAGGGGTATGGGAACCTAGTGGCTGTTACTTGTGAGTCTCCTTTCTCATCAAATATATTTTCTAGTTTTCGATTCCGATTCTACACCCTATCAGATAACAGTTTTATGCAATCACGGATTCTTTTAACTTTTAAACACATCTTACGAAGCTGATGAACAGTTAACAGCATATTATTCAAATCGAATGGTGCTTTTGTTTAAAACAGTCAAACAAGGACAAACTTGTTGAGATTCGAAAGCAAGTACATCACTTCCATTGTCTCCATCCAAATAAACCGATGAATGATTTGTCCTTGTTCGAAATCGAGCGGAAATATCACTGTTTCATTAACTCTCTTACGTTTTTAGGTGTGCTATTTGAATGGAAGATCACATGTAGTGACAGATCAATCAATCAATCCCGACGAAAGATTTTAATCGATGTATTCGTAAATTGAAGTCAGCGTATTTGGCAACTCGAATAGTGGGGGAAGAAAGCCACATTCATTAAGTAAATATTCAAACGAAGCTATAATTAGCCACTGGATTGAATGGTAGACTGTTTGGCTACAACCGTTATTTTTAATTCTCAACAGCAAGTAAATTTTAACTGGGGCGTAAATTGTACTTTTTCCCGAAAAACGTTTGCAGCGTGTGTTCCATCTGTCCATCGGCACACCCGTCTTTCTGTGGTACATTTATTTCACATCAAAACGTTTTCCACAAATCACGGCAACCACCTCTTTGGAGTGTTAACAGAAATATGTGCTGGGCTTCCCATCTCACATTTGACATTTATAACGGCTGTCATCTAGTCTTTGTGTTACATTCACACCTATGTCAATTGCACTTCCGAAATATCTTAGTTGAACGCAAATTTCATTTAAATTTGTAAAGAGTGTCTAATATATCCTACATTTAGTCGTCATCATTTTTAAAGCACATTGCATAGATGAGATAAACATCAACTGAATGTGTGTTTCCCTTCAGAAAAATTCGTCATATAAAGAACCAGACCTTTGCGTATCTTGATCATGTCGTTTTGTCGGCCGATAAAGGAACGTGTTTTGTAGACGTAGACTGTCTGACTTGAGCGAACTATGATGAACAGAGCACAGGAGTATCCGAACATGGAGATAAGTGATCCAATCCTAGTTGAACCCCAATGTCTGGAACCTATTCGATATCTGCTTAGACAAATGGTTGGAATGCAAACTCCGAGATTAGAGATTGTT